GCCGCAAAGACACAGTCTGCGCATACAAATACAAGCAACACAACAGCAACAGCAGCAGCAGCAGCAGCTGGCGAGAAGAGGTATACGGCGGGGGTGTTGCATGCAGCCAAAGACAGCAGCTGCCTATACACCGCAAATATGCAGCAGCAGCTCAGCAGCAGCAGCGACGTCACCTCTTTGCCTTCTAGTGACTGCAGCGGATACAGCAGCTACAGCAGCAGCTACAGCAGCAGCTACAGCAGCAGCAGCAGCAGCTACAGCAGCAGCAGCAGCAGCAGCAGCAACACTGCTGATATTTCTTTGCTGGTGTCTCCAGATTTAAAGTGCACTCGAGCTGATGCTGAAGACCATCCGCTGCTGCAGGAGACGCCGCAGCTGCTGCAGCAGCAGCAACAGCAGCAGCAGCAGCAGCAGCAGCAGCAGCAACAGCAGCAGCAGCAAACATCATCGCGGCAGCAGCGAATTTCTAGCTATCGCCCTTCTGGGCCCTCCAGCCTATTCCGCAGACGCACGAGGATCAACAACAACAACAGCAGCAGCAGCAGCAGCAGCAGCAGCAGCAGTAGCAGCAGCAGCAGCAGCAGCAGCAGCAGCAGTGACAGCAGCAGCGATCCTGAGAAGGGTAAACATCTCGTTGTTATAAACAACACAAAAAGAAGAGGAAAAGCAGCAGCAGTTCAGACGCTTAGGCGGCAGCAATCAAGCCTCAAACACACCAGCAGCAGCAGCAGCAGCAGCAGCAGCAGCAGCAGCAGCAGCAGCAGCAGCAGCAAACACTTCACTGTACACTTTGACGATGGAGCGCTAGACAGCGGGTTGCTGTCGGTTGGTAGCCGTGGGGTGTATGCGCACCGTTCGGGTGTATCTGCAGCTCGGAGAAGCAGCAGAAATATAAATATAAATGAAGACAATCACTTTATTTATAATTCTCGTCGCCAGCCTCGGTATGAATCTACCTTACGGCGGCAGCAACGCATGCAGCAGCAGCAGCAGCAGCAGCAGCAGGGGTTTGCAGCAGTAGGAGACGGTGCAGCAGGAGAAGAAACAGAAACCACACCATCAGCAGCAGCAGCAGCAGCAGCAGCAGCAGCAGCAGCAGCAGAGCTAAGCAGGAAGCAGCGTCTAGCTGAGCCTATGCGTCGCCGGCTGCTGCAGCAATACACTATACACCTCAACCGGCTGCATGCAGCAAAAGAAGAAGCAAAGAAAGCAGAAGAAACTGCAGCAGCACTGCACCCCAGGCTGGTGCATATTGTTATGGAGGGGGCTAAACTAAAGGCGCTACAGTCAAGCAGGTATATATACATATATATATATATATATATA